CAATGTAAGTAATATATGGGCTGATGAATAAATGAAAATATATCTAATGTCATTAATAAGATCAGGTATGCTCACAATAATATTGATGCCATTTTTAACCTATCAGCCTAGCAAAAATAAAAAAACCGATAACATCAGGTTTGACAAAAATGTGGGTAAAGAGGACCTCTATTATAGTGTAGGTGGAAAGGTTGATTAAACCATTCTGGAGGGCATTGGGAAACATTTTTCAACATTAAAAATGTATGTATGCATAGTCTATGACCTTACAACCTATAAAATACCATTTCTAGGAATTCACTTTTATTCGTACAAAGAAAAGGTTATTCAATATGGCATTATCTGAAATAGCAAAATAACCAAAACAACAACAAAAAAAAAAAAGAAAGAAAGACTAATTCCCCTCCATAGAAGACTAGTTAATGGATACTATATTATGGTGCATCTATGCAACAAAATACAGGGCAGCTGTTAGAAAAGATTCCCTTATATTCATCATTTGGAAAGATTTCTATATATTTAAGTGAAATAAGCACTTCAAAGATCAGTATATATCTTACTTAAAAAACTATGTGTTTATAAATACACATATATATGAAAATATATTTGAATAAACATATAAAACAGTCTGAGGGGCACATCACCACTACTAATAGGAGTTAATGTCTAAGGGTAGGAGTAAGAATTTTCATTTATTTTGAATATACTTTCACTGTTTCTTTACATTCATTTATAATTATTCAAAGACACAAATTATTTCTTAAAATTAAGAATTTTCAGACATGTACAATTTTTTAAAACACCAAGCATGTATTGTAAAAATAATAAAGCTGTATAATTACATACTTATTTTCCAGTCTTAAGCAGTATCCTCCTAATATCCAAAAAAAGCCTTATGACTTACATAGTTAAGCATCTGTATTATACACAGTCCTAAAGAGGATTTACCCGCTAAAGAACTTTGTTCACCACTTCATTCTTTAACTTAAACAATGCCTAGAACTTAATATTTGTAAAATAAATATTTACAGTGTTTATAACTTCATAAATAAGTTCGTAACTTTTAGGTTTCATTCCTTCTTTGCCAAGTAAGAGTCTGGAAATGACGTTTGTCCTCCAAAGCAATTTTGCAACTTCCCCTGTAGCTAAAAAGTGGCTAACATGCTGATTTTTGAACTTACCAGAGGCTCCAGTTTTATAGGCTGCTGTCGTTTTCGTGTTCTCTCCTGAGCTTTTGTAGTGTGCCTGAACTTCAGGGTTTGTTTATCAAATTGATTTTCTGTGGATGTGATATAACTCACTCTTCCCTTTTCTCGTATACTTTGCAGTCTTGAAAGGACAGGGTTTTCTCCTTGTTCTTCAATACTTTTCAGGTCTGATTCATTATTTGAGGACTGAAAAGCCATTCTTACTCCTAGAAAAAATAAGGTCAGAAAAAAAAAAGAGAAGTAGAAAAGGATTGGGAAAGGGGGCTAGTGGAAGAGGACTTAAGGACTAAGAAGGACTGCATTCACCCCCTGCCCCTAGAAAAAGCACATCGAAGTTACCCAGTCTTCCCAAACTGAAGACTTGAATCAAAGGAATACAAATTAGGAACTGTGCCTGGACTTCAAGGACTCCTCTAGCTGCCTGGGGTAGAACCCAGGAACTTGCATTTCTAACAAGTTCTTGGGTGCTGCTACTACTGCTGATCTGGGGACCACACAGACCTAGATTTGGAAGGATGAAGAAAAATGCAATTAACGTGAAATCAGGGTTTCTCATATTTGAGTATACAGAACATTTCCTTCCTAAAAAATTAGGTAACTCTGATGGAGACAATATGAGAAATACAGCCTAGGTACTTATGAAGAAACAAAGGAACAAAAGAATTGAAGAATTGAGGACTAAATCCCAAAAGAATGTTTCTAGAGCTTTAATGTACAGGAGAATCACTTGAGGAGTTAAAATGCAGATACTGATGCATATACCCATTGACTAGCAATGGTCCTAAAACTCTAGACTCAAGAGTCTTTTGTAGTGGTCTTGCAATTCTCACCACCACATACACTCCCATCCCATCAGACAGTGGGAGTACTAAGCACATCAAACTGGTTAACATAGACTTCACAGCATTTTCTGAGTTATTGTGTTAAGACATTTATACTCTACACTTAATAAATTTAACATGTACCCTTGTAAAATGCACCATACGTGTGTTCTCACCAATTCCTCTCCCTCCACCAATTTTCCCCCCTTCCCTCCCCTGCCTCTCCTCTTTCCCCAAGTTTTAAGTTTAGATTCCTGCTGGCCAATAGAAATATAAGAGCTTTGATTTTTCAAGAAATAAAAATAGAAACAGGTGAAAATTTAAATATTTAACCTATCCAAAATATTATAATTTCAACACACAATATAAAAATTATTGTAATTTCATTTTATATGGGGGAATTATGCCTTCAAAATGCAGTATGTATAGAGCACATTTCAATTCAGACTAGCCGTGCGCTATCCTCCCGAATAGCGCAGATCTAGATTTGACCATTCAGTGTGAGATCTCAGACAACTCTATTCCTCACTTCCCCTCCACCCCCTTAAAATGATAGGTGATAGGTAAATAGTAGGCCCTCGCTGAAATGCTTTTCCATTGACTTTCTTTGCCTCTCGACTTTCAAGTTCTCTGGAAGCCAGGCTGTTTTTGTCCAAGAAGTCAGAGCCCAGTCCGAAGGCTCGGTTTCGCAGGACTCACCAAGTCACTAGAGCGTTGGTCGCTGAGGGTCTCCAGAGACAAGAGAGCAACGCCGGGTCTGCAGTAGAAAGTCCGCTCCAGCCGGGATTGTTTTCCGTTGCCTAGCAGCCACCGGCCTCTACCGACGCTCACTGCGCCACTGCGTGGCCTGTCGCCATGGCAAGGCCTTAGCCAGCCACAGCTTTCGGTTCAGGGTGCGACAGGCAATCCAGCCAATCAGTGCCTCCAGAATGTTTCCTCCGTCCCTGGCGGTGGAGAGATAGAAGTCTGGTTTCTCCTCTGGCAACCGAGAGCTGCCTAGGTGCTGTAGGCTGGGCAGCCAAAGGAGGTGGTTAATTCTTCTTCTTCTTCTTCTTTTTCCCTTCGTTCATCCACCATCCCAGCTGATCCCAACCTCCAACAGAAATCCCTTTTCTGTTTTCCCTAAGAGGCTTAACATTGACTTGGCGTTCACATTAATCGAAATTTCTCTAGATGGAAAGTCAAGAATTTAAGGAGAGGGATGTGCATAGTGTACACATTTGTGGTCCCACTCTTGAAGACAGCGACGACCCTGCATCCCTGCCCCACCCCTGACCTGAGAGTATCCTAAGGCGCAAGAAATGTGGGCTTTCTTCCCTCAAATGCCACCTTGGCTTTTCAACTAGTCTTTTCTACCTGAAAGGTCGCCTAATTTCAGACATAGCACAAGCCCATATTACTTGGTTCGTATTCCCTACATCCCAAAGCTGATCCTGTCTCTATGTTCTGGCATGTAGTCCCACTTAAATCCCCAAATAACTTGCTAATGCTGTATGGTGACAATCTTGCCAAAGTTTAGTGCTAGTTGCACTAAGGAAACACTTAAAAACAAAACAAACACAAAAACCAAAAAGAAAAATCCTACCTAATCCTAATGCAAAAGAAGGCGATAATGGAAGAATTGATGAAAAAATATAGCAAACAGACAGGAAATGGCTAAAGTCCATCCTCATCACTAATTACATTAAATAAAAATGTATTAAACTCAAGAGTTAAAAGGCAGAAATTGGCAGAATGGATTAAAAAAAAAACCTCACGATTAAAATACATATCTACTGTATGAGATACAAAACCAAGAACCATGAACTTGGTGGAGGCTAGGGTGGAATGAATCAGGAACACTACTGGAGGAGATAGCCTTCAGTAAAAAAGACATGGCCACTGGTCCATGGAGAGGGAAGGCAGGCCGTGGTCGATTAGGTAAAATGGCAGATTTATTATTTATTCTATTTTCTCTACAAAGCAGAAGATATGATCAGCAGCTGAGGATGCTGGGAGTGATAGAAGCTTCATGTAATGCGTATAGGGGGTTAATGCCTCTTTAGCTTTGGTCCACAGTTTAGCTCCTGGATCCATGAACTGGTTAAAATTGCATTTGTTTTTGTGTGTGTGCATTTCTTTGTCTATAGCTTTGCTCAGGTTCTCAAAGGAGTCTGTGACCAATTATCTCTCAGAAATTAGAACTGGACCTATTACGTAAGGGTGCCACCGTTAAGTGTGTTAGCATAGGACGAAGTGGCTGCTCAACTTTCTGAGGGGTTTGTGATATCATATTCTGTTGCTTCGTCGCCACCTTATGGTCATATGAGTGTACTGCCAAAGGAAGTAGGGATTATGAATTAGGGCAATGGTTTCTTAGATCTGGAAGGGACTTGGGGCATTATGTGGTTTAATGTCCCAGACATTATAAGAATTAATAATTACTGCAAAGTTTCCCTCTAAAATGTTGACCCAAAGTGAATATAAATGAGAATCCCTGATAATTATATTTCAGGAATTATAATATATTTCTTACATATTGCATAAAGCGGGTGTTAGCAAACTCTCTACTATAGGCCAAATCCAGACCTCTTCCTGTTTTTTGTAAATAACATTTTATTAGATCTCAGTCACGTACATTTACTTACCTATGTAAGCCATATTTCCTATGGCTATTTTTGCACTTCAACAGTAGAATTGAGTGAGGAATTTTAACAGAGACTGTATGACCTACAAAGTCCAAAGTATTTACTATCTGGTCAACTAGAAAAGGTTTTCCAACTCCTGCTATAGTAAATAGATACTTAGGGTATATAAAAAACCATATAGAATACATGCTAATTGTAGAAAGCAGTCACTATGTTAAGATTAAATTCCCATTCTAGTTTTAGTAAATTGTCCTATTGGTCATTTCTCATTGCTGTCAGTTTTTACCTCTATTCTGATTTTGTAGTCTGTTTCATTATTTTTTATTACCTTAAGACATATGGAACTCAGCAAGCAAATATCATAAATACTCTAGAAATTGTGCTTTCAAGGAGAAAGAAGAGAGTGACTCACACTGGACAAGACCAGAAAGGTTTGAGAATTGCATTCCCCAAAGCACTGAGGTATTTGGATAAAAAGTATTTGAACAGATTATTCATGTAGACAGTAGGGCAAATATGACATTTTAAATATGACAAACTACTCTTATTTCCTCTTAAAATCCTACTAAAAGGATTTTTTAGAAGATATAAACAGAGAAATAGGAGAATTGGGGAAGAAATAATAGTTATATCAACTTGAATTCTGGAAAGCAAAAGTAGAGTAGTAAGTGATTTAATAGACACCAAGAAAGGTGAATTCTAAGCAGTATTCAGAAAAGAGAATAATTAATCTGATATACATTATGGAATCCTCAAAAAGGTCTAGAATTGGTGACACTAGAAATTTCTAGATACTAGGGCTTAAATGAGAAGGTTGGTGGACAGTCTGTTCAAGAAGTGGTCAGCTCTTCAGATTTGTGTCATTCTCTTCCATCCCAGCAGAAGACTGGAAATATATTGATAGTGGGTAAAAGAAAAGATCTCTAGACCAAGGAGTACAATGTGCAGTTGAGATTGTACCGTATTGAAAATAGTGGGGTTACCTGAATGTGTGCATGCAAGATAGTGAAATCATCCAACCCATTTCTCCTGCTTCAACTCCCAAAATGGTGGCATAGGGTGTTCAAACACTCAATTCTTCTGAGCTTGAAGACATTCCTAGGATGGAGACTGTCAGTTTTAAAGCATGATAGTCCTGAGCAAACCAGGAAGAGTTGGTCACCCTTGCCTCAAAACATTGGCAGATTTCTAACGTTTTGGGCAGGAGACTGGGGGAATCTTCTCTGAAGAATCTGGGAAAGCCCTGAGTCTATGGGCTGCAGAGCTTCTAATGGCCAAGTGGCTTAGCCTAATCCACTTTATGTGAAGCTTACAGTGAACAAACCCCACTTGGGTTTTCAGACCCTCCCTTCACAAACAACAAAGGACTGTTAGGCAATTCAAGGACGGCCAAAGCATTCAAACAGAAGAAAACAACTTTAGGGGTTATCACACAATTCAAATTGTAATAATCAGAGTCTTTCCTTTGAATTTTATAAAGTAGGTCTAAGAGAGAGAATGTTTTCTTTTTCTTCAGTCTCAACTATTATGTCCACTTTCAAGACAGGAAGAATGGAATAAGGTTAAAGGATATGCCTGACCTAGCTGAAAGGGAGTCTGAAAAAGTAGGGAACAAAATTGTTGTAAGTGGTTTGGAACAATCATGATCTAACACTTGAGGCTGGGCACTTGACCACATACCACCCCTATCTCTGTACCCTCTCCCTACCAAAAGAAAGAAAACGAAATCCAGGAAAAACACAAAAAACAAATAAATAACTTCTGCTCCTCCCCTTAGTTAGGATTCTACTGACAAAGAAAAATAGGGAAAAAGAAGCTTTATGGGAAAATGCCAGTATGGTACCACAGGAACCAAAGTAAGGAGGTTAAAATGTTGGAAACACACTTAAGCTGGAGCTCTCACACATTGCTGGTGAAAATACAAAATGGACATTTTAGAAAACATTTTGGCAGTTCCTTATAATGTTAAAAATACACTCTTCATATGACCTAAGCATAAATCTCCCAGAGATTTAGCTAGATAAAATAAAAACCTATATTTACCCAAAGGTCTGTATTATAGATGTTTATAGCTACTTTACCTTTAATCTTCAAATATTGAAAGCAACCTAAAGATCTGATGATGGATGAATGGATGAACAAACTGTGTTATAGTTATATAATGGACCATAGAACTGAGCAATATAAAGGAACAAGCTACTGATGCATGCAAGGACCAGGACGAATCTCAAATGCATTATGCTAAATGAAAGAAATCCAACTTGAAATTATATACTTCAGATGCCACTGATATAACATTCCAGAAAGGCAAAACTAAAGGGACAGAAAATAGTTCAGTGACTATGAGGGGCTGGAGATGGAAAGAGGGCTTAACTTCAGGAAGCAAGGGGGATATTTGAGGGGTGATTTGAACTGTTTTATATCTTGATTGTGGTGGTAGTTACATGACTAAGTACATATTTTAAAACGCAAAGAGCTTGAATTAAAAGGGTAATTTTTACTGAATGTAAATTATACTGAAAGAGAAGAAATAAAAAGAAAGAAAGAGAGAAGGAAGGGAGAGAGGAAGGAAGAAAAAAATAAAGAGAAAAAAGGAACCGTTAACCAAGACTTTCTGAAAGAAGTTGGGGAATAACATGAAAATAGAACACTAACAGCATATCCTACTTCTTCAGAAAAAAAAAATGTGGCAGATGCAAACATTTCTGCTGTAATTTCAGACCAAGGATTATCATGGTATATAAAAATGTGAAAAACTGAAGAAATCTTTTGTTCTGGGATTCATGGTGTATGATAAGTATATTGGTCTTTACTGGGGCCTGAGCAAACAAGATTCAGCAACATCAACAGAGGTATCATTTCAAGCACCTATTGATAGCGAGTGTCTAAACCAGTGGTTCTCAAAGTGTGTTCCCTGGACAGCAGTATCAGCATTTTCTAGGAGCTTGATAAACATGCAAATGTTGCAGCCCTATCTTAGACCTACTGATCAGAAACTCTGGGAATGAGGATTAGTAATGTATTTTTACAAATCTTCTAAGTGATTCTGGTGCATGCTTGGTTTAATAACACTGCACAAAAGGAAACAAATATGGGGTCAGGGAATAGATTGTGGATCTGACCAATTCAGGGTGAAGTTCTGGCAAGCCCATAGACTGTATCCTCTTACCACATTTAAGAGTAAGAAGGTGCAAGGTAGAGACAATTATATGGAGCTTCTTTAAAAGACAAAAAAGAATATGAATATATATATATATAATGTATGTATCTTTTAAAGT